CGCCCGCCGACACCCTCCCGGCAGGAGCATACGCGCCCCGTCAGCACGCGGCTGCCCCAGAACGGCAGGCACGAGGCCCGCCGCTGACTGGACAGGCGTGATGCGGGCAGGAACGCAGGTGGGAAATACACGTCCGTCCCCGTCGGGCCTGACCGAGCTGCCGGTTCTGTCTGCAGAAGACAGAACGAGATTTCCTGAAACAACAACCTTGGCTGTCAGTGGAATCCTGTCTGCCCCGCCAGGGAGCTCTCACCTAGCAGGGTTATCTGTCGTCTGACTCTACTTTGTCACCGAAACAAAACAAACAAAAAACCTGTGTCATTAAAATAAGCCATCGGAGCTGCAAAGCAGTGGCGTGTTTCACCTCCATTCTGGCTCGGCAGAATGTTCTTGTGTAAATGTTTTCTACCGCAGGCAAGCTCACAAACACCTCATTTTTTCCTAAACTGGGACCTTCTCTCTTTAAAGTTTCAGACCTCGAGAGCAGAGCAGAAAGGAGCGGGAAGACCAGCAGGCGGCGGGCGAGGCGGGCGGGGCCGGCTCCGAGCGCCCAGAGGGAGCCGGGGGCCAGTCACAGGCCCAGGCCGGCCGCCTGCGAGAGCCACCGCCCATTTCGATGATGGAACAGGAATCTTGTCCACCGCACAGAAACGCCCATGGGATAAATGGCCAGGAAACAAGAGAGATACGGTAAAAACTTATTAGTGAAATCAGCACCGTTCTTTTAAAAGGGACAGTGCTAGAAATTACTCCGAGGGTATGAACAGAACCTCTTGGCAGGGAAAGACGGAGTCCATTTACGTGCAGAACTTCAGAGTCTGCTAGGGCGGGCACTCTCCTCTCACAACGGAGCAGCCCACGTGTCCAGTCCACCCAAGCCACGGTCGGCAGTCCCACGCTGGCGGTGTGCGGTGACAGGCTCCCGCGGGGAGTCTGCGCTTGCGGTAGCAAACTTTCGGGTTTCGGGAACAGGGGAGGCTTACCTCTGAACTGAGAAACAAGACACCACAGTGAAGCTCGCCCAAAAGCAGACAGAGGCCCTGCTGGGGGCGCAGCGCGTTAAGGGCGCAGCACTGCGAGGCTATTGCAGCCACAGCAGCGCCAGCTCGGTCCCCGCCCGCCCCGGAGGGGACTCCAGGGCGCGGCAGACCCTCCCGGCCCGCCCGCTGCCCCCTCGGCAGTGAGCTTCGTCCATCTGCCTGTTCTGCTCCCCGCTCTGCCTCTGGGGAGTCCTCTCGCCGCCCCTGCACCTCCGGCCTGTACCCCAGTTCTGTGTGCATTCATAAATAAATCTTAAAAAAAAAAATACTTGTGGCATATTAAACTAAATTTTTTCTACATTTTTTGGCAAAAAGTGAAAGAAAAGAGGCGGGGACTGCCTGCGCCTGCGGCGTCCGGCCCATCGGGAACGGCGACGGGAGCCCGGCCACTCCGCCTGTGTCCGTGTCCGCCCGCACTGACCTGTGAGGATGTCCTAGCTGTGAAATCACAGCTGTGCTTAAAGGAATGAGAGCTAACCCCCAGTGTCCAGCGCCCGATGAAACAGAATGCCCCGCCAAGCCCAGGGCTCGGCAGTGGGGGGGAGGCCGGGGGACCCCAGGAGGGACAAGCAGCTGCCCCGGTGGGCAGTGAGGCCGCCCTCGGGCCTGAGCACCCCGCTGCTGCTTACCCATGGCACTGAGACCTAGACCCTTCGCACACTCGTCCCGAGAAGCACTTCCCTGAGAAACAGCTAAGGCTTTCGTCTCCATATGCACAGACAACATGCAAAGCACACCCACTTCTTTTCATGACGAAGTTACTAAGTGGGAGACTCCCTCTCACGCACCGGCCTAAAATGCTTCATCGGTGAGACAGGCCTGGGCCCAGTGCACCTTCTGGGTGTGCTGTGGAGACTTCGCCTCGTGGCGCGGGGACACACAAAAGCAACAGCGCCGATGGGAAAGCTGGGCGCCGCTCCCCCTAGTTACACAGCCACTCAAAGCCCAGCTGACTGCGAGCTCGGAACTGGGAACGCCATCGCCATTGTCGCGTGCACCTGGCTTTCACGTCAGATATACTTATTATGGCTGCTTCAATTGTGGTAATTGGGGATAAGCTCGTCTTCTAGATTACTATTAGCGAATTCAGAGAGTCATAAAGATCGTTTGGCTTACTATGCTGAAAAGAGAGGTACTTATTTAAGATAAGGAATACTTTAGAATGAACTTGCAAATTAATTGAAGTTTATTGTTTTGGAATGTGACCTGAATGTCGCTATATTTAGCTGTTTATATCTAAGTATACCAGACTTCAGAAACACAGTAGTGTACTGCCTCAAAGTAAGAGATGCAAATTTTAGAGACAAATCTAGAGACAAAAAAGTATCTTCTTACACAATCCACCATTTCGGAGGTTCACGAAGCCAACAAACATTTGAAATTATTTAGTTTTCGCTGCTAATGACAGTCACACTGACAAAATGTACTGGTTCATCAAAGTACAGTATAAGCACATGAGTCCGTTTGTAATAAATTATCATTTTTGCATAGATCAGTCAAAGCACAAGGCCTAAGTACTGCAAACAAAATGCATTATTAATTTAATTGTCACAGCCGATTTGGCTAACTTCTATTACTCTTTGCCGTAATATGCCATGCACAAGAGGGGAGAATCAAATTCAAAACATAAAGAAATAAACTGATTACACCGGCCTGAAGAAATTAAAAAATAGCAAGCTTGCAGAATTACAGCCAAAGCATCAATGTTTTAAATAGGTAAGAAAAGATGGGCAGCTTAACCCCGACAACGGTTATGCCCAAAGTGGCACTTTCACAGGCTGCTCCGGAGTCTGCGTCTCCCAAAGCCTGCAAAGGCGTCACTGTGCTCTCCGGGGCCCGCGGGAGGGCGGGTGGCGTGCAGCCAGATACGGCCACGCGCATCTCAGCCGGCTTCTGCGCGGGTCTGGCTGCGGCGGCGGCCGGCGGCCCCGCCCGGGCTTCCGCACAGGCGGACACGTGTCTCCCGGCACAGGGTGTCACACGCAGGCGTGCCCGTGACGCGGACACGTCAGCGGGGCAGACACTCGCCAAAGATGTTTGCTTACATGAACTGGGCGACCTGGAGCTCCTGCGTGAGCCGGACGGCGGCGAGCGTCTGCACCTGAGATCCGTTTTCTGATTTGGGGACCAAAGACAGCCAGTGCCAGAGGAGAGGAGAGGCTCGTCCAAAGAGAAAGACACGCCTCCTCTCCTGCCCCTCGTCACCTCTGGAACGCCTGGGAGCGGGGTGGGTGAGGAACGGGACAGCTGGGATTTCCAAACTCCTATCACCACACAAAGGAGGAAGTTGAGAATTTTTTAAGGGTTTGACAGGTATATGGTGGTAAACTTTTCACTAACAAGAAAAAAGCAAAATGATGCATTCGAGTCAAAATGTATTCCTGATCCAGGGAGAGCAAGGAGCATTTTCTTGTACTAAACACCGACCGAGGTGGTTGCACTCACAGGTAGTGACACACACTACGTGCCTACATGGAGAAATTCTCATTGAGAGGCGATGTCATGAGCATGAGGAAGCTGGGCCAGACTAAGGAAAAGGACAATGAGCCATGATCTCTTCAGCGAAGTAGGTGTGTGTCCGAATGTCAGTCCTGTGTGCTACGAAATGAGGTGCGTGACGGGCTGCTAGGAGGGTGGCAGACACCCAGCGCGCCTGTGACATCAACGAGAACAAGAAGTAGGGGCACGTGTCGTTTCTGCTTCCTAAAGCACTTATGGAACAAGTATGGCAATTCCACACTAGACTTGGACCATCCCGAATTTTGTCAATTTCATGTGTGATGCATTTCACCTACTTCAACGCGCATCTTGGTTCAAATTCACTGTGCTACTCAAAGAAAAGGTGAGGAACCGAAAGGCAAGAAGCAGGCAGACGCGACACCCCAGCACTGTGACGCGGGCGCGTCACGGCCACAACGCCACTGCAGCGAAGAACCTGCCGCCGCAGAGGTCACGTGACAGTCCTTGCAAACACCGTGTTTGCATGCTAAAATGGCAGGAGCACTTTAAAGGTTTTCAAAAGGCCATGAAACGTCTACCAATGTGGCACAGGGCCGAGTGCAGAACGTGTCATTATGACACTGGAAGACCACATCAGGCACAAGCCGCCCTGCGCTGCTGCAGGGTCTCGGTCCCCACCGTGGAGGGCGGGGTGACAGGCTCGCTTGGGGGGGCCTGGGGGCTGGGCACCAGCTCCGGGAGACGCTGGCTGCAGAGGCGGAAACAATTCCAAGTGGCCGCGCTCACCCGGTGGCTTGCGGGGCTTACTGAGTTCGCCTACCAAGTGGAGTCTGCGGGTGACGCTAATTACGCTACAGAGCAGGAGAGAGGAAAACCTGGCAGTTGAGGACACAATAATTGCAGTGTTATTCTTCATGACATAGCAAGTGCATTATTATTCGGGGGATGACACAAGATGTATTTCTTTATTCATAACAGCAATAAGTAGCTCATTGGTAAGGATTTTAAAATGCTATTTTAAAACCTCAAAATAACAATAAAGTAAAAATAGACGTGTAGTCCTGCGTCTCTGTTTCGGCTTATCGCAAGCAATCACACAGGTCATTCCCTCTTACTTAACACTTCTGGTTTCACTAATTCAAGGTTCCTCCAATCCTGTGGAAAATCTGTAGCTCAGATTTTTTAAATATCATTAAATACTTTTATGGGAGGGTGGCAGGAGATGCGACATGCAGGCTCAAAGTTCCACAACTGCAAAACGTGATGACCTGATTTGATAAAGTCAAGAATGACCCCACTCCACAAAACTTAAAGCGAACATTAATTGTATTTGTAAAATGCCAAAAAAAAAAAAGTGGAGGCAGTTACCTTTCCTTTGGGGTGCCGACTCCATGCTTGCCTAGTAGGTGAGTATTTAAGTGCTTCTTCATGACAAAAGCAACCCTAAAAAAGAAAGAAAAGTAATTAGACAACTGAGACTTGACTTTCTGCTGGAAACATGCACGAGACGGTGCGTGAGACGGCGGGAGCGTGGCGGGCTGGAAGCCCGACGCACCCCACGCGCCCCGGCTGGTGACTGCAGCGGAAGCCCTGGCTGCGCGGGCTGTGGCCTGCGGCCCCCGCCTGCGCTGCCCACCAGTCAGCCAGATCACGCAGCGGCTCCACGTAGCAGTCCCTGGCCCCAGCTGACCCCACACGGCAATCATGACGTGATTTGGGAAAATGTCATTTTATCAAATCTCCCAGGAGCTATGAAAACGAATGGCTTTCACAAAGCTTCCTTGGAAACGTGGTGGAAGTCTGAAAGGGGTTTTCAAGTGCTGCCTCCTCTCACCGAGGGCAGCGCAGCAGCGGCCAGCCCGCCCCGGGACTGCTGGGACGACTCCGCTCTAGGTCGGAGGCACCAGGCTGAACTGGCTGGCGCTCCTGATCAGCAAAACAAAAGAGCGGCTGTTCAACTTTCAGTGTAAAAGGGCTCGCAAACATTTCTGTTAATTATGGATTACAGCTGTCCTTCATAAAGTTAATTACTAATAGCTGAAAGGCAATAGAATGTATTTGCATATGTACATGAAAGGCATGACATATGCAAAAATATGATTTTAATTAGCATTCTACGATATGAAGGGCTACAAATCAAATTGGCATGCTATAAGATTCTTAACATTAAACACCGAATTCATCTGGACATGTTTGCACAGACGGGCAAGGGAAGAGTGTCGTGTTCTGTGGCCTGACGGGAGAGGCAGGTGACAGCGGCCGCAGCGACAGTGTCTGAAGAGGTGAGTGATTCTTGGCGCGTCTGGTCTGTTTTGGCTACGCTCCTGTCATGTTAAAGACTCAGTTTTGAGGCTAATAGATTTGTATTTTTAAAGTGACTATGACTTCATTAATCAAATAACGCACCTCCATATGCTGAGCGTAACCTAGTCTTTTTATGTATTAAGTAATAGCTGCGCAAGACATGCTTTATGACAATAAATTCCTGACCACATCATCGGTCACCAAAATGAAAAAATCACTATGTATGTAGAATCAAACCGTGGTGATGTTAAATGCTTAGTGACATGAACAGGGTAAGATATTTGATTTGTTCCTGCTTGATTTGAACAAGATAAATAACATTTTTCATTTCCTTAAAAAAGAATACAGTGATAATGATGGTCTACGTAAGTCATAACTCCCTCCCGTCCTCTATTTTCCTATAATTAAAAAATCATAAAGCTAACAGCAAAGAGCAAAGGTTAAGAACCCAAAGTTGCAAAGCACAGCTTATTTACATGGCCACGTCTAATTTAAGGGATCTGCGCTTTAGAAACCACAGTGCAATTTTTAACAGAAAAAAATTGGCTTTTAAGGATTAAAATTAAAATATTACATGCACAGGGGAGCAAACTAAAGTAAATCAAGAGGGAAAGGTGTAGCCTAAGACAGCATGCTTATACGATCTGCTGAATGACTGTGATACCAAAGGCTTATAACAATTTTAGTACAGAAAAATTATAATTTTTTGGATTTACATGATTTTAATAAATTTTTTAAAATACAGCTGAAGTTGTCACACGAAAACTATTCATTCATCGAAAATCTGACTTAAAAGTCCAAATGCTCTCCATCTGGTCTAACTAACCTGTGCACGCCACAGACTTCGCCACACCGGTCGCCTGCATCGGCCCTCTGAGCCCAGCGTGGCGGACCCGCGACCTCGCCGCCTGCAGGGACCCGCAGCCAGCGCCTCTGGCTCCCGAAGGCCGCCTGGCTCGGCCGCCATCGTGAGAGTATAGATTTAAGCTTTTAGCACAGAATGCTTGGGAGGGTTTACAAGCTCCATGCCGTGAGAAGCGGGG